TTTCGATCATAAATTTTGATTGGTTACTGGATTTGACGATCAAAATGCCGATCGAACAACTTTGAAATGGCCTAATAGCTGGAAGGTACAAGTCCGATTTTGGCAGAATCAGCACAATAATTTTCTTGTTCAAGTTAAGAAAATTCGGGAGGATATGGACCGTATAAAGACTGAGAATGACGCATTAATTTTCATCAATAAGGAGCTCAGAAGAATGAATGACAAATTGACGATAGAAATTCAATCACGTAGCCAAAGATCGAGTGAAAATGAGGCGTCTGATCAGCCAAAAAAGAAGATTAAAAAGCCTAAAACCTCTGATGAAGTCCAAGAAAATAATGAAGAAGCGGCAAGGGTTCATAAATATGAGGATAATTTACTATGTTATAATGATTTTTATTTAATCTTTGTCAGGTTTTTTTTTCAATAGACTGAGATGAAGGAAATCTTGAAAAACTTGTCATCTGAATATGAAATGAAATACGATGAAGTTTTTACTAGTCCAGATAACAAAAGTATTCAGCAAAAATTAGTATCTGAATTATTAAAATCAGTAAAGCCACGTCATAATCCTTCATACATTTAATTAAATGACTGGCTACGTGTTTTACATAAGCATCAAAAGGATGGCGTTCTGTTAGCATAAAAAGGAGCTCGAAACAGGACCAGTCAGTGAGTATACAACAACAATCAGGTAGCAGAGGTGCGGTGCGAAATTCATTTAGGTTTATATTTATTTTTATTAACATTTGGCTTTTCGTAAATATAGAAAAGGGATCGATGAATAAGAGGCGCAGTAGCATTATTTGATGAAGGAGATAGCTGAATGTCAAAATATGACCGGGACGCTACCTTAAACATGCTTAAAAGTCAAATACATTCACCTGAACAATCCAAAACTGATTCAGAAAATGAAGAGGAAAGCATCGAATAGTCGTGTATAATTATTCTTGGCGTTCAGATAAGGTTTGTCAACCTTTTCTCTTAAATGTATTTGTTTATTTCAAAAGCTAACTTTTTTTTTACTTTGTATGTATTAAATAAAGTCAAAGAATATTTTACGTGAGATTCTTGACAAGCATGCATTATCACAGCAATCATCCCAATTGTCAAGAGCTCAGTTCAAGAATGATAATCGCTTCTATAAAGATCGTTTACCACCAAATAATGCATTAGATTAGGCTTGTAAACCTAATGACGGTACTCAAGAGACAGCTTCAAATAGATCACAAACTCCTCCAGCTCAACCAGTTCGTACTGAAAGTATGACTCTGAATCGACTAATAAATCCTCCAGTTCGATCAGCTAGTACTGGATCGGCTAGTACTGAAAGGACGACTCTGAATGTGCGACTAATAAATCCTCCAGTTTGATCAGCTCCAGTCCGAACATCAGCTCCAGTCCGTAATGTTCGATATCGGCCAACTCGTGATTACGATGATTGGATTAATTATAATGCTGAATATGAGCATCAATACGGAGAATCGTCAACTACTGGAATGATTAGAGGAGCAATACAGAAAGCTGATGGTCAGAATCAACCTGATAATAATCATCTTAACGATCCTTTCCCGTATTATGATGATAGTGATAATGAATTTTTTAAAATGTAAAATAATAATAAAAATAACGAAATTTATCAATTAAATATAATAAATAAAATATATAAATTCCGATTTTATTTTCATATTAAATAATTGTCCGGAGCGAAGCGAAGGACATTATACTTTTACGATGTCTGTTGAAAATTATGATCACGTGAATTTTTCCGGTTGTCCACATGTGTAACGATCAATAATAAACAAAAACAAAAAGTATGACAATCACGTGAATCTTCCGATTCTGTACGTGTGATGATAGATTTGTCATATCAAGATTGATAATATGCGAGCTTCTATGAATAATCCTTGTAAACCTAATCTAACAAAAACCGAGATGGCATAATTTTAAATGCTTGTGAGAAAAAGTTTATTGGCAATTATGAAAAATCTATAATATATCGGGAAAGGAAACTATGATTTTAAATATGATATAATGAAAGTTTTATTTGTATTATTCGATGCTTTAGAACTAAAAGTTTAATTTTTAGGTATCATAGATATCAGTCGTTCTTCTTCGTTTTTTCTTTCTTGTAACCTTTTGCATTCTCTAATGCGCTGAAGCCTCTCAAAACTAAATGGTTTAAAAAGAAGATCTTCAAGGGTACGGACCTGAGACACTGCCACGAATGAAAGATCGGCAGTAAATTCTTTAGATCTAAGATCTATTACAGTCTTTTGTAATATGAGTCCCTGGCTTTTATGCACTGTAATGGCCCATGCAAGTCGAATGGGAACTTGTAAATGAGAACATGTTACTCCAGATTTGCCCTCTCAAGTACATTGAATAGGTGCAATTGGAACTACTCTTACACCCTCTGAAGAAGCAATGGTGGAACTTTTATAATTATCAAAAGAGATAAGTACTGCTATAGAGATAGAAGGCGGTCCCTTGTCTTCTTTGAATAAAATATCTTGAACAGTTCCTATTGAACCATTTACTAATCCAACTTCTGTTCACAGATTTGCTGTTAGTATGACACGTGCACCTCTTGCCAGTAACAACTGTACTTCAAGACCATGTGCTAAATCAGCGTCAGCTTTTTTGGCTTCATTCCCATCTGTATGTGTTGCTTGAATTTTAGCAATAGGTGAATTTAAAGACCTAAGTTGATTTATATTAATTATGTTAACATCAGACCACTTTGTTAAGATGAACATAGCGTTAGAGAAGCTGTCACACTCTGTTCTACTTAGTTTCTCTTCCAGTCATGTGGTAAGAGCCTTCCAATCATCTAAAGTAGACTCTCCATTGCGCAGCCGTAAGAGAATATCTCTAAAGTCCTGTTGTTTCTTAAAATTTTCAGATTGACATTGAATAACATCAAGTTTATACACCTCTCTAAACAATTTGTATGCTGCAAAACCATCATTAGACAATGGATCTCGTGGAATGTTGACATACATGGGAAGATCAAGTACAGGCGGAAGCTGGCCAAAATCATCAAACATAATAACCGACCTGCTGCTAAAAGGTTCATTGTTGTGTTCGGAAAAAGCTTGGTGAAGTCGTATATCAATTATAGTGAGTGTTCGCCGACCAACCATACTTTTCTCATCAATTATAATATAGCTTACATTTTGTAGTCTATCTTGTAGCTGATTCAATCTTTCGCTATTTATGTTAAGGTTCTTTTTAGTAATTATCAGAATACCAAGTGTTGAATGTATTATCATCCCATTAATATTATAAGCTGCAACACCTGTAGGCGCAAGCACAATAACAGGCAACTTAGATTCAACTCCTACCATTTCTTGAAGTCAATTTCAGATTGCTTTAATTAGATAAGTCTTTCCAGTTCTTGCGGTCCCCATTATGATGATTCTTAATGGGTCAACTTCACGACCTGTAAGAATATCGTGATAATGAGAATTCATTCATTTAAAGACTTTCTTTTATTCTTCTTTTAACGTCTCATAATTCACAATTAAATCTTCATTTTTTTCATTTTCAGCATTCCATTTTCCACTTCCAGAAGCTCTATTCACGAAAGTATCAGTGTCTGTGAGATCTCTATCAGAATATCATTGTTTGGCATCATTAATCCAGTCATGATTCCAATCTATATCCTGAGATCTTAGGTCAAAGAAATGATCGATAATTGTATTTGACCCATTTCTACCAAATGCATCCAATCAGGTCAGAGTTCTTCTTGCTCATCATTTTCAAATAATTCTTCGTCCTCATCATCAATTTCATTTTCTTTATTATCTATAGGATTCCCAAGTAGATCAATTAAATCAGCATTGTTCTTTTCAAGATAATGACTATACAAAGTTGACTATTCAATATTGTCATTCTCGATTAATTGCTGAATACTTCGGTGATGAACGTGAAGAAGAACCTTTATACGATAAAATTCTTCCCATTGAGGACCATTACGTAGTGGTGATAGGTGTGGAAAGATACATACAATGTTTTCTTATTTGCATTTATTCCAACGATTTTTGATAAATTTACATGTTAAATAGAGCTGATATAATGTCAAATTCTCAAATTCATCAGGCTGATCCCAATATCTTTTCAAAG